TAACTTTTGTTCTGGAGTTAACATTCATATGTTCTGTTATCATCATAGCAATTAAAGGACACCCCTTTGCATGAACTATTTGAGAACCACAATTTAAACACAATAGTAAAGAAACAAATTGCAAAGGCAGATCAGAGACACTTATTGCAAAAACTTTATAGAGATAAATAAATTCACACACCCATTAAGAACCAATTGAGTTTCTTCATAGAAGCACAATGTCAAGAAATTTTCTCTGACAACACAGTACCGACATGAAGCCTTATGCAAACTAGAAGAGATTTCCTCCAACAAGCAACACCTGAGGTGACCAAATTACCAAGGTGCTGACTGAGCATATCACCATTATCAGACTCTTAACAATGGAAACAACATCAAGACTAGAAAATCCAGTTCTCAAACCATTTAAACCTCACATATGACACCATCACTAGAAGTAACAAATTTGACACACACAGAGAGAGAGAGAGAGAGAGAGAGAGAGAGAGAGAGAGATAGATAGATAGAGAGACTTAGATTCCATCAGATACTTCTTTACTCCAGTCATGAGTCTGGAACTCCCACTACGAAAATACCAAACTAGCTTTGTTGAAGCTCTAAGAGGTATATGAGAGACAAAATAATTTTCACCCTCCTTGAGTTTCAGGCACTGCTTTACTTTAAGCATAGGTGGACCTTTGACAAGGAAATGACAAGACTCACTTTACCATAGAAGAAACATCTTCAACACAAGAACCTGCCTTTAGTATGAGATTACTGATGTTATGAACGATGTCGAGACATTTGGTTAACATCATTGTCTCAGCTTTCCTGTTGATGGAAACAAATTTTCTGCACTTGAGTTCTTCTTTGCTTGTTATAGCCTTAAAAACCCTATCCCTTTTTGGCTTCCAGTCATCTTTTTAAATGAATTACTTCTTCAACATATCATACCAGTTGTTCAACATCCTACAGAAATCTATATTCCTCCTTGTTGATAGCCTTCTTTACACTTGATACACAAGACTTGAAGAAGCAACCAACTCATCATGAATTGATTCTCCAATACAGGGGTCTATACCAGAAGGTAACCTTCTAGAACGGGAAATAACAAGCTTGAAAAATTCATCATCAGGATCACTTCATCCATCAGTCCACGCAACAGAAAGCCCCTTAAGTTGTTTCTTGAGATAGACCAGACATTCTGAAAGAGAATTTCAAATACATGGCACTGAGTGCCTCTACTTAGAACATCCTAGTTTTTATAGATGTCATAACATATGTTCATCATATTTGATCTTGACTTTTATCCACTTTCCTCAAATCCTGGTAGAAATGCCTTCCATGTAACAAAAATAATTAAGTAACCTTTCACAAGGTCACAAGCTCCTACATAGTTGGAGACAAAACACATGCTCTTGTCCTCCTGTTCAAATTTGTTCTTTTAACAACAGAAAACAAATATGACCTTCACAGATCCATCTATGCTGATGATGTCTAGAACTTCTTCCACAAAGCAGTCACATTCAAGACAGATCTTTTGAGAAGAGACCTCAAAATCCTTCTGACTAGATGTGCCTTTATGAGAGGTCTTGTGAAGTTTCCAAGCATTTTTGGCCACCACACACGTGTTTAAGAATCTAATTACATTTTTATCAACACCATTTGAAATGGCATTCAAAACATTTAAACTTAACAAAAGCCAACCCATACTCTTCCTCATAAGGGACAAACCACACACATACTTTGGTGACAAATTTCCAAGAATTGATGTCCCCTGGTCTCAAGAAAGTTACCAATCTAGCCTTCCAATGATCATACAGTACTAGAAAAAAATTCCCTGAAGCTCACCCAAAAACTGACTAGGGTGCTTGATCTGATGCCAATTAAAATTTTGACACTCTACCACTTGATAATATTGATGTCCTCACACCAGAACATAATGTTAAGACAGATGTTACAACATCTTCTGTCTGACAGAACAATTATAATAGACTGTAAAAAATGCAGAAGAATAAACAACACAATCAATTATTAACCCAGTTCAGTGCAACATCACCTATATCTGGGGGCATCTAAGCTAGGAAGGAAATTCACTATGATATCATTAGTTCAAAGCTAAACTCCCTCGTTTACAACTTCTCACCTAATCACTACCTTGTGCAACTTCTACCTAAAAACCCTCTAGATATGAGACCCCCTCTCACTTCCTAACAATCATAAACCCGTGACAATTCAACAATAACTCAAGGTAGAAGTACCAACCCTTCCAAGTACAATACTTAGTTTTGCTTAAAAGCTTTAACCAAGAACAATACATTATTGCTTAAAAACTTTAGAGTGAACAATAAACACCATACAATAAGTCTACCTCAATGTATCAAAAGATACATGGGTGACTTACAAAGTCACACAAACGAGAATCTTAAAACCTAAGACTCTAAAACCTCCCCTTATTTTTATAAAAGGAAGCCGTAAATTACATTAGGTTTAGGTCTTCTCTTTAAATAGTCTTCAGACCTCGTGGGCTTAGGCTCTTGAAGCGCAATTCATCAGGAATCAGCTTTAAATCATAAGCATAATCTCCTGCACAAAAATAGGAACAAAATACAAAGTTTCCTAAAAAGGCTCAACGATCCTTTTTTAAGAAAACCAACACAATCCGCCAAGACAGAAGTTTCCAAAATATCCCTCCTTGAATAATGCAAACGTGTGAATTAAAATACACTCAAAACTCACACTAAAATACCAAAATAGTCCAACCCTAGACTACTGATATAACATGTCTTGACACATGTCACAATATCATGCTGAACATGATGTCTAACTGTCATAGCATAACAACTGGCTTAACATCTTGCTGGCAGCATGTTTTACCAAAATGTTGCCAATCCAAAAACCACAGAACTTACAACCTCTAATCACACTCACATTGATTCGGATCGTTGCAACACTATGGTGATGTCATAAATACCAAATTCTATAGAAAGTGAAATATTAGAAAGTGTTTTATGGATGAACACAACTTTTGAAATTTGGAAAGAACTCTGTGAATGGTACCACTAAGGTGACGACTTTCGCATCTACGATCTCCAAGAAAAGATTTAATCCCTCAGGGATAGTGAGAGTAACATAACCTAGTACTTCACCACCCTAAAAAACCTTTGGTGGGAGTTTGATAATCTTCGGCCTCTTTTTACTTGTACCTGCACAATCACTTGTAGTCGTCAACTTCTTCCCACCATTAAAGCTTCAAGGGAGAGTGACTATATCATTCCATATCTCAAGGGATCGAATGAATAATACGCTCCCGTAAGGTCCCAGATAATGCTTAAGCACCCCTTCCATCAATCAACAAAGTGTTTCTTTACTGATTCCATAAGAACGTCAACAACTCATCAGTCCTGATGAAGAAAAACTCGTTGCAACCAAATGCGTGTGAGGGGCACAAAACGTAATTAACCTTCATATCAGTCTGGCTGGAGAAAATATATTTCACGAGTAAGTTCATTTGTCTAGTGGGAAAAATGAATCCACATGCTCTGCACCTTGTCATTTCACACTTTATCGGTGTTGGGCCTTTGTGCTTTTAGGCCATAGGGGCGGCCTAGAACAACGACACATTCGATAATCATACATAGTCTGAGTTCAACACTCGGGACTTCATGATTTAATACTTGCATGATTTAGTGCACCTGTTAAACTACAATCAATGAGTATGTTGTTATTTGGAACACCATTTATTAGTTCACTGTTGTAGAATGAAAGTGGAGGCCTCTTGTTGGCCAGTGCATTTTTAAGAAATAAACTCTTGCAAGGATCATTCCTTGAAATAAAACAACTCTCATCAGGGGGTGGTTGATTTTTATTTATGACAATATATTGGATATGATTTCCTTTTCTGTCCTTAAGGGTGTTAGTTAATGGATAAACTTTTCCAACTAACACATGCCCATTGACGCAAGAAATAGTAAAAATGTCATCTTATCAATTGAAAACTCTTATGGGTGATGGATAAGGGGTCCAAGGGAGGGTTAGGCTTGAAGTGTCTTTCATCATCATCAGAATTTGGCACTGCCACAAATAACAAGTAGTATTACAACTGAAACGTGCCACCTCACTGTAAGGTGAAGAAAAGAGAATGACGTTCAAAGCGATACCCATAGACAATGCTAATGATCATGTTTGGACTTGAAATAATTGAAGTCTTTTAATTGTATTCGTGAGACAATGAGTTCTAGTAGTTTAGCTGGTGGTTGAAGCCTTGTCTGACATCAGACAGGGTAGTACATACAAATACTCTGATGTCCAAATCAGTGATAATCTAAAAAAAGAAATATTTTATATTTTATAGAATATATACCTTAATTTTTAGGTTTGTCCCATTTTTATAGATGAATTTTAAGATTTTTGAAGATCTAGAATCCTCTTGGATAATATAGATATCAAAATATCATTTATTCTATCATTTGGTTGCTCTTATTCAACCACTCTTTCTGATGAGGTGTATTCTTAAGACATACTTTAACATGTTCATAAGGTCTCATAAGCTTTCTTCAATGCACTTTATTCTTTTCGTTTCTCTAACTGCTCTTAAAATTGTGGGTTAGATCAATTTTTTAAATATTTTTTATGGATCCATATTCTTATTTAATTTAGCCCTTGTTGTTATATCTCTCTTATTTATAGAATAGGTACATAAAAGAAAAAAAAAAGAACTTTTCTGGAATTGATTTGTAAAAAATTAAATAAACTAAGCTTATTAAACAATTACAGTATAAAGCAACGTCAAGGCTATGGTTGACCACAATAGCTTGGCACAGCTCAAAAAGGGATAATTAATCATGTTGAATGATTCAAGCTTGTCTACCTCAACAACAAAAATCCAACATTAATCAACAAGACTAAATACAATTTATAAACATCCTCTCTCTCTTTAACCTACTACATCTTGATGAATCAGAAAAGATTCAACACAGACAAAACCTCAGGAAAAACAACCTACGAGACATGAAGGAACTTCACCTAGGTTGAAAAAAGAAAATACTAAGCTCTTGGCCAATTCTTCCTTCTGGATCAATCAAATGAAAAGATTCGCAATTCGTTTTAGACGAACCACGGACCCTTTCAAAATTAGCTCTAAGAAACATAAGTTGATCATCTTCTTTACAATCCTCCTTTCCGTTTATAACACCAGTACCCACAGAAACACAACGCATCAAACTCAATGCTTCAAAATCACTTCTTGAAGGTTTACGCTTAACCGCATACCCAACTTTCCTTCCATTACAGTACATAGTCCACAGAGGAGTTGAAAACAGGTTGTTATTATTACTGTTACTGCAAGTGCCTGAAGTGACACTTTCAAGCACAATTCTTAAAGTTCCTCCTCTCATTTCCTGTGCTAAAACACTGGTTGGGATTGCTAGTTCGAGAAGGAGAATTGGGTTGGTGGAGTTCGGGTTGGATTGGATACAGAAACTTACTTTTCCTTTACGGTATCCGAATATAGTGCCGGTGATTGTTGTAGAGGGAATGAGTGAATGTGACGATGAGGGATATTTTTTGTGACAGTTTTTTGAAGTGTTGTTGTAGTCTTGTTCTTGTTGTTCTACTAAGGTGCAGTTGCAAGTGGGGATTAGTAGTTGAATGAGGGAACGTAGAAGCCTCCATGAACGAACTTGTTTCTGGCAATCTACGGAGGTCATGGTGGTGCCAACATCAAGCTTGGTGATGTAGGCCATATGTATGTTTGTTTGGGTTTGAGGTTTCTTTCTTTGGTTTGTACATGATCTTGTGTATGGTTTGGGGACAGGTTATATAGTACAATGTATGTGTGGTAATGTTAAGAACCACACTTAATTGAAAATAAATATTTGAAAAATTGAATAATAATTATAACCTTTTCTAAATTATGACTAGATTGTTTTTTGCATTTTAATTATACTTTTTAATTATGATAAGTGGTAGTTTGAGATCATCAATGGTGTCGGTGCTATCTTCTAGAGTGATAATTAGGAATGATAAATAGGGCATCTCCGTCTTATGAAAGTTTATTAAAAAAATAACGAAATAGACCATTTTATCTATAAAAGTTAAAAGTGGTAAAAGAAACCATATCCATCATATTAAGGTTTATACCCATGTTTGCAAAAATTATAAAAAAAAATTAAAGTTGTTGCTACACGAAAAATGATACAGAGTCGCCACCGAATTTTATTTATCTCAAGGAGGGAAAGAGAAATAACGATAAAACCTTTTGGAAAAGAGCATGATCATCACAACCAAGTCTTAGGGTTCGTGAGTCGGTTATGCGAGGGGAAGGTATTAGCATCCCCTCACATCCATCGTACTCGATGGGAACCTTCTAGGTTGTTTTACCTTGAATGAGTGTTTTAATCTAAAAGTTTGCTTGCTTAGAAGAAAGAGGGGTTGGTTTTTTATTAGAGTGCTCGTCAAGGATTGTGGCCCTGGTGCCTACGTATCCTCACTTAAAAGAAGTGAAGAATCAGAGCTCCGTAGTTTGGAGGCTTGTGAAATGGTTGTTTGTTGGTTGATTTTATACCTTGGAAAATGATTTTCGGATTGATGCCCTAAGGCGAAAAGAAGTTTGATGAGTTGATGTTATTTTTAGGTTTTGAGAAGAGATTGTTTTTGATTAGGATCACACTAAAGACTTTGGATAGAGATGAATATTTCAAATAACCAAGTCGAGCGCCTTCCATTCTCATTCCTTCTCCACCACTTTAAAGTTTATGGTGTATGACTCCAATTGTATCTTTATTGTATTTTGTATTTTTTATGAGAAAAATACTACTTGATGTTGGATCAAGGGTTTTATTGTTTGTAAAAATATTTAAAGTGATGCGAACAAGGTCGATGGCGAACGCACAAGGCGGTCGACTTACAAGGGTGAAAATGGCTCAATAAAATCGAGAGTTTATTTTTGAAAATATTTTTTAGAACCAAAAGTCAAAAATGGCCATAACAACATCCACATACGATGGTCATGCAACCACATCGGGTTAGTCGGCTTGAAACAACACAAAACACAAAAAAAAACGCGAATTCCTTTAAAAATTTTTTTTTGGGAAAACTAGAAAAACTAAGGGAAGTTCGCTAGGCGAAGGCTGTAGCGAAGCTGCCCAGAAACAGCAAGAAGTTCGCTAGGCGAACTTCCCAGCGAATGCAAACAGAGCCGAAAGGGGGCAAAGTTCGCTAGGCAAACCTTGCAGCGAAGCTGCCCAGAAAAAACAAACACTTCCCAACAAACACAAACAGAGGCAAAAGGGGGGCAAAGTTTGCTAGGCGAAGGTGCCGTGATAGCAAGAGAACATCAAGAAGTTCGCTAGGCGAACTTCATGCTGTTTTGCCCAGAATATGCCTTTTTTATGGAAAAGAGGAGAAATGGGGCAAAGTTCGCTAGGCGAACTTGCCAGCGAACATGACAGCATACATGAGTATTTTCAACTCATGTCGCTATGAAAACTAAACTATGTTCTTTCTCTTTTCTTTGTTCTTTTACGACAGTTTTTTGGTCGTTCTTGAGATCTTATTACAGTATAAACAACACAAACATCACATAAAAGTAAAACATGCAAAAATGTAAATAAGATAAGAGTTTGAAGGGAAGGATACCCAAGAGCCACTATCTTCCTTCACCAATGACCTTTGTTGGATGTGCTTCTATGGTTCACCTCCTTCTTCTGGTTTTCTATCCTTCTCTTGTTCTCTCAATGGCTAGTGAATGCTCTCAATGTTTCTCTCTTTTTTCAATTTTTTTTCTCTTCCTCTCTTTTCTGATTTTTTTCTCAATGTTTCTTGCTCTCAATCTCTCTATGTGTCAATGTGTCCTCCTTTTTCTATTGTTGTTGCTTTTCTTTTATACCCAAAACATTAGGGTTTGCACATGTCTTTTAACTTCAGAATTTCTACACTTAGAAATATCCAATGCCACTTTCTTGGTGCACCCTTTTCCTTTAGAAATCTTACTTTTCTACTGCACTTTTGCTGCTGTACCAAAACAATAGAGCTTGCACATGTCTCAAGTTTCAGAATTTCTACATTTGAAAATGCTTATTACCACTTTCTTGGTGCAACCCCATTTCTTTCCATTTCTAGCATGCTGTTTTTCTGATTTTGCTGTTGCACTTTCCTAGTGCTGTTTTTCTGCATTACCTTCCTTTATTCACTTGTTCTTGGGTTGTACTTGTGGTCCATGCCTTTCCCTTTGATAGAATTTTGAAATTCTGAATTTTGGCATGTAAATGAACCAACATGATCTAGTTCCTCAAGTTTTGTGACTTGGTTTGTTTGGTTGGGAATTAGTTGGCCACGGGGCTGTTTTGGATCAATTTAAAAAATGCCTTGAAATTGCCCATGAATAAGCATAAACAGTTTTGCTTTTGAAATGCTCTAATGTTGAATTAAACCTTAATTATTTTCCTTGAATATTTGTGGGTTTAATTGGTTATGAATTAAATGTAGCACATAGAGATTTGATGGGGCATGAAGGGTACCATAACATGAAATTAGTTAGAAACTTGAATTAAAATTAGAAATAACTTAACTTTCTAAGCATTTCTTAGAGTTGGAAAATTTTGCAACAAATGTGACATTCTTGCAAATGTCATGAAATTTCTTTTTGTAACATTCTTGAATCTAATCTTGAATTCATGAATTTGGAATGGTGGATTTCCCTTATACCATTATTTGAAATGGATGAAGTCTTGAATTAGGCCTTGCACTTCATGTTCATTAGAAATATTGATCTTGACTATCCTAATATTTTTCAAGTAACTTCTCCTTGAAGGAATATACATGAGTAGACTTTCCAACTTGAACCAAACCTTAAATGATGAACCTTTTCTTCCATGTAGCCCATGATAGGCAATTTATCTTATTTGGAATGAAAAACAACGAACCGACTCAATCCTTACCTTGTGAACCCACATGCTCGATATGCAATAGAATGATGTATGATATGACGAATGTAGGGTATGAAATGCTAAAGGTGAAAATAAGGGTGTGACAAAAGTAGAGACGGGCGAAATAAGTAAAGAAGCGGTTTATAAGCCCTAGTTTGCCCAATAAAAAATAAAGGAATAAACGGACGGACATTGACATGTTTTACCACTTCTAGTGATAATAACTGAAGGTGAAAAAAATACACAAGAGAGTGGGAGGGAGGGTTGAATTGTGTATGTGAATTCTTTTTCACTTTTGAAACACCAACTTCAGAAACTAAACAAGTTCAGAATCTGATCTCAGAGTTGTTAGCAACAAAATGAATAATATTTAGAAGCAAAAAACAATGCAACTGACAGAGTTATCATGATTCCTCCCACAAACAGTGAGTAGTCCAGTCCCCTAGTCCGATAAGAAACTTTTCACTATAATCAAACAAATTACACTTTGCTCAAGCAAACTAGCAAGAGACTTCAACTGCTCAATCACATTAGAAAGAGACTTCCGCTCAAGCGCACAGGCAAGAGACTTCTACTCAAGCACACAATCAAGAGGCTTCTATTGCTCAAGCACACAGGCAAGAGACTTCCACTATTTAAGCAAACTAGCAAGAAAGTTCTTATACTCAAAATAAATAGTTTAGGAGAATAGATAACAACTATACTTAATGTAAAATCATAAGTATAGAAGTGATACAACACACACAAAGATTCTTAAGCACTTAATATTTCTGAGATATACAAAGATAAGAAATCTCAAGAACTTGTGTAGTAAACAAATGATAACTTAAACTTAAAGTTATGCTCAATGTTGTTCTTGCTAGATGGTTCGTTAGTTATTTTCCTTCAAATCTTCAACCCCATTTATAAAGGTAGAAAAAGAGACATTGGATGGTAACTTACAAAAGTGATCTTTGTTGAGAAGTAGTTCCAAGAGAGATGTTGGAAGTCAATCCTCCATCCACTATGTAATAAATTTATCCACCACGCCTTTCTCATAATAGGTATCTACCAAGATGTTGGGTAGTTTTAAGAGGTCACGTAAACTTTCCTTGAGCCTTGCACTAAGAAACTTTAGTTGAATTTTTCAATAATCTGGCTTTGACAAGATCGATCTACCTTGTAGACAAAGTACAAGTCAAAAGTAGAGTACCTTTAGCTCAAGTCTTCAGAATCTCAGCTGTCACCATAAGTTGAGATACCAAGATCTGAGTCATCAAATTATGATCCTTCAGAATCTGAGTCCATTAGCTTCTCTTCATATGCTCAAATTAGGGTCAGACCTAAGTTGATTTTTAAACTTATGATTCTACACACTTGAACATATGTTAGTATACCCAATTGTTTTTTTAAGTACTTTGTTATCATCAAAACCCAAGGGATATGAACAATTTTGTTCCAATAATCTCCCTCTTTTTGAGGATGACAAACAAATGTATTTAAGAATAATGATTGGTCAGTTTAACTAACTTGATAACATCAGGGTCTGAGGTTTGTATGCTTCCCCTAAGTCTAATAGTTCAAAGGTTGATTTCTGTAAGCTCCCCCTAAGTCATATCCAAGTTATTTAAACTTATCTTGATAGCATAAGAAAATAAGCTTCAAATTTAAACATAAAAAGAGTTTTGATATAGGTTATGGTGTATTTAAAAGCATCCAAAATGCTTTTATCCTCTTTAAATACTCCCATGATTTTCTCCCCCTTTTATCATCAACAAAAAGAAATTAAAACATGATAGCATAGAGAGATAGAAAAGGTACTGAAGAAAGAAATTAAA